CCTTGTCACAATCTAGTTACTTGGAAAGATTGTCGTGCGAGAGAGGAATGTAAAAAGTGGAATACATCATGGTCTTTGAAAGTAATTCTCCTCATTTATTCTAGAGTGGTAAATAAATACTAATTTAATTATGCAACAACAACTGATGATAATTATTCTCGATTTAAGTTGTGAAAATTTTTGTATTTGCCTGCGATTTTCAGTATGTAATTTTGTACACACTCTCTCGCAAAAAGTTTGCAAATGACTTTTAAGTCAATTTTCCAATGCGCTTTACAACTTTAATTTCTTAATAGTATAATTTGCAGATATTAAATTTTATCGGCTATGCATTGCACAAAATGACACGGTCTTCAAGATATATGGCAGCTCGAATATTTTCATTTTTAAATGCTATGGTTACTCTTCGCTTTTTGGTAACTCTAGTTGAAGTAGGTTCAAATAATAACTTATAAATTACAAACTTACTACTCATAAATTATATAAAAACAGTTTTTCAGAATAAAAGAATGCAAGAGTTACTCCATCAAGGTAAGCTTGCCTTTGGTTGCCTTGATACGTGGCTGATATATAAATTCACTTGCTGTTCTGGTATTATTAGTGAACCTTCGAATGCAAGCAGTACTGGCTTGTTTGATCCTTATACGGTAGTTTTTTCTCTAGGCATATGTTCAAAATATCACAATCAATCTCACCATGCAAAAAATTACACAAGTTTATTTTCATTTTGTTTATATTAAATTTAAACTGATTTCAATACAATTAAAAAATGATATTTTTTAATCGTGTTGCATTTTATAGATTGATAGCAAACCAGAACAAGTCAGCACAATATGTCGGAAAAGTGAGTGATAATTTCCTAGTTATTGTTTCAGATGAACTGGGGTTACAGATTGTTGCAGTTTATTTCATTTCCTACATCAGTTCTCCCACGCTTATCATTTTCCGCTGGAGTGCCATTGGGGGTTGCCGATAAAAAATTATTTGGTTTTCCGATTACTGTCGCTGCTGCTGTAAGAAAGTTGTTATTTTGAGTTTAATAAAATTTTTAAATTAAAGGGATCAAATACTTTTCTAGATTTCACTACAAACTTCTTATTTTTGCAAATAATGTTAGAAAAATGCTCAGACTTTCTTGATTCCTTTTCTTTTTTAAGCTACAAACTTTGTATTTAGTATAATTTTATACTAAATATTTAACTTTAAAGGACAGTTAACAGGCATTTTAAATTTATTTTATGCTTGTAAACTATGAAATGTAGATATTTTTAATAAGGCGGGTGATCAACAAAGTGCTCTATTTGCTTCTGGTTGTTGGATGAAAGGAGATGTTTTGATTTCTCTTGGTACAGGATCTTTTCTTGATATCAGTACTGGTGCATTGCCTCATTCTTCACTGAATGGTACTTCTTGCCTTTCCTGATGTTCAGCTGTTTGCGATGCAGAATTAACTATTCATTATCCAAGGTTTATATCCTTTGGTTGGATGGAAATTTCCAAATTGGCTTAATTTCGCAGCCGAAGGGTGTGCTCAAAACACGGTGACAGTTCTGGAATGGGCTAAATCTGTTGGTTTATTCCAAGATGTTGAAGTTACTTCAAAGATTGCTGAAAATTGCTGTACTTCCGGTACGTGTTATGTATATTGTATCACCACTGTTTCCATAATTAGGAATAGTCAGAAACTTGCGCAAAAATTTGTGCTAGGAACTAATAGATTGTGAATTTTCTTGTTTGTAACTTTCCTGATTATACTTATAGTGGAATTTTATTTTCATGTATATTTTTGTTAAGTCATAACGAATATTTATTATTAAAGATTAATTTAATGTTAAGGTGCATTAATGATGTGATGAGTGATATATTAACTACAAATTAAGTGAGCAAACTAAAAAAAGTTGTTTTTCCTCACAGGTTTGTATTTTATTCCCGCATTTTTTGGTATTCAAACTCCAGTAAACGACGACACTGCTTGCTGTGGGTTATTGGGAATTCGTCCAGATACTACCAAAGAGCAAATGGTGCGTGCAGTTCTAGAGTCTATTGCATTTCGAGTTTATCAGATATGGAAGACAGTTCTTATGGAAATCGATACTTCGTGTACTAGTTTTATTCGGTGATTTTATATATTTGGCATAATCTATTATTTGTAGGATATGACAAGTTAGAGTTCGTCATATATAAAACTCTGTAAAACATAGATCAACCGTGTTAAGATGTTAAATTGATAATTATTATTGCATGTCAGTCATTTCTTTTGCAGATGCTGTGGCGGTGTTTCAGCAAATGACTTTATTTGTCAAACAATTAGTACTTTGATAGGGCTTCCATTACAAAGGCTCAGTCGCCCAAGCTTTGCATCTGCGCGTGGTGTGGCCATGATGGCAGGAATTACATGTGGTTTGTGGAGCAGAAATGACATGCAGGACTTAATTGAGATTGAAAAAATATTTCTTCCCGAAGATCGTAATCGTCTTGATCTAATCAAAAATTATGAAAGGTGGCACTCAGCCATGCAAAGATGTCTTAATTTTTATGCCTCGTAATGAAACCTTCAAGAATTTGCACTTTGATACAGTCATTTTCTTGTTTTAAAAAAAGTTTTTATTCGAATGTATTTATCATTAGTTGATGAAAATGATTCTTACTACACTATATTTACATAGATTATATAGCATTTAATAAGTCAGATAATGTGCTGTCAACATCATATATACTATAGTGCGCATGAGATTCCGATATCAATCGTTCACACTGTGTTCCGTTTTTTCAATATCTGAAAATAAAAGGTCTCTCGTATGTGAGTAAAGAATCTAGCAAATTCTACAGTTATCAAAATTTTCCGATACCAGACTGATATTCATGAAGATTGGGACAACTATAAGATATTGATCAAATCAATCGTAATTTTGATATGCTTTTAACGGCTTAAAATGTGATGTGAAGCTGGCCAGATTAAGAAAGCGGTGTTAGCTGAATATGACTTTATGTCAAGTCATTATTTTTGTTAGATTTGTCATGTCTATAGAAGGGATAGCTGGTTATTTCTCTGTGGTTCATGCTTGGGAATTTTATGAAGTGACATTTGTATTGGGGAGTACATATATTTGTCACAATCATGATTACAAGTGTTCTTCCAGAAAGAAACTTCTAGAAGAGTGGAGTATTTCTTTATCTTTGCTAGAATCAATGTATGCCTGCATCTTTTATAACATTCAATATACATCAAATTAGTGGAAATGAGATTTTGATGAGCGAAATTTAGCTAATTTCTGACACTGAATTCACTTCTGTTTGTTTAAAATCATCCCCAACAGAATAGTATTAGGTAACATGCAAAAGTAAAAACAGAAGTTGCTCGGACATACTGTAACTAAACTAATAAAAACAAATTTGACATTCAGGAAGTGTTTGTACTGTAATTTATGTGTTGTTAGCATTAAAGTTCAAATATACAATACTTTTCAAAGTGATTGAAACGGAATTTTTTCATTTCCCAACCACATAAAATATGGTAGTTAGTAAGTAATTCTTGTATCATGAAATGCCACAGGTAAGTGGTGCTTGTTACAAATTGTACATAATTGTATCATTTAACGTCATAGTTGGTGGGTGAGACGTGTCTTATTGTGTAGTTCTTACTAAGTAGTAAAGTTGCAAAGATTGAGTGTTAGTGTTGACATTTTATTAAAAGATTATGCAACCTGACTTATTGCTTTTGTTATATTTAGCTTATTGCAGTATGAAAAGTATGTAAAGTATCAATGCTTATAAAATTGTTTATGACATTAATCCAACTAAAAGTACTCAGAGTTATGTGATGTAGATCGTGTGAATAAAGGAGGTCAAAAGTTCAGAGTAATCGCAAAAACCAAATTAAAGATAATTTTCTTGTGGTATTACATACAGCATTGTGTGTGATTAATTTACACTTTTAGGTGCATAAATTAAATGAGTAGTGTGGTTGGTCTTGAAAGCAAAGACGACGCTTCAGTACTCGGCCCATATCGGGATCAGAGGTTCAAGGTTAGTATGTGATCATCAGTTGCTTACTTTTCAAAAGATCTTGTATAGTTTTGTGCTTATTTTTCAACTTGCTTCTTAATTTTTTATACCTGGAAATATAAAAGCACATTTTACATGTTTTATTATATAATAGGAAGACATATAAGGTGGTAATGACAGAGAAAAGCATCATTTTAAATTAATCAGAACTAATGACTAATGATAAGGCTTACTAATGACTAATGTGAAGACTTACTAAAAAAGTTGTTTTGGGTGAATTATTGCTAAAAATATTAAACCTTCCTAAAATAATAAATAAGTACTTGTTTCTGATTATAGTCCTTAGAATGTCGATACATTTAATAGTAAACTGAGGAGAAGAGTCATTGCAATAATTTGAAACTATTAATTGTTAGTTTTTGTAGCTTCATGTATTACAGATCACTAAAATAGATATTGTAGAAAAGTACTGTGTATGATGAAAATTGGTTCCAAAATTTTAGGCATGGCATTTACTGGCTTTTTATTATTTTTATTGTAAACTGCTATTGCTTAAAATTCATTAAGGGATCACTACGTGAGCAAGAAAAGCTTCTGCTTTCTTCAAAGACGCTTTACGTTGGTAATCTTTCTTACTACACTACTGAAGAGCAGGTTTGTATCGTTATATTTCCATTAATACATTTGCGCAACTTATTGTTTGTTGTTTTTTTGCTCACAGCAAGTTTCAGTGCCTTAAGCGTTTCAGACATATGAGTTGTTCAGTCGCGCTGGCGATATTAAAAGAATTATCATGGGTATTGACCGCTTTAAAAAGACGCCATGTGGATTTTGTTTTGTTGAGTGAGTCAGTTATTCTAGATTAAGTTTGTCTATACTGTTATTAGTTACTGAATTGTCCTTTGAAAATTTGATATAGTGAAATAGCGATAAAATTTAAACACATTTATTCTCATTATATTTAGTATTGTTTGGAAAAATCCTTACTGAATATAGCTTCTTTTTAATGAATTTCATTGGATTTTCAAGATATTATCAGCGCGAAGATGCAGAAGACGCAATGAGATGTATAAATGGCACGCGATTAGATGATCGAATAATTCGAACTGATTGGGATGCAGGATTTGTGGAAGGTAGGCAGTATGGACGTGGAAAACATGGAGGACAGGTATTAAAATTTAGGCACTGGTAATCTTGATACTCAAGTCTGCCACGTTTCGATTTTATTTCAGCTAATCTTATCGAGTTATCTAACAACTTGTTCCTTCGAAATGTATTTGAAGTCATTTTTCATGATATGCTTTTTATGAGACTAAAAATTGAATGCTAAGTTTTTCTACCTTTTTATAATTTCGTCTTTAACATTATATTTATTTCAGGTTAGGGATGAATACCGCAAAGATTATGATCCTGGTAGGGGAGGATGGAACAGAGTCATTGCTACGAAAAGTGAGTTTCATATTTTTTTAGAATTTAAACTCCTGCGGATTTCATTTTCAGAAAAAGATTAAAATGGAAGGAGATTCAGGTCAACACTGAAGATGTGCTCTCCAAAAACAAAAGTAGTTGGTATTAGATTTTTTTTTGCAGATATCGAACTGGAGTAATCAGGAGAATTGATGATTAATTATCATCAGTTCAGTGTATAAAAAGAAATGGTTGAACGGAAAATTGGCTGTGATCTAGACACAGATTTTGTTATTCATTTAGTATATCATCAGTGCACTGTCTTCTTTTTTTGTTTTTTGAATTTCTGGTTCCAAAAGTATGCAGTAAGATGCTGATTAAATTACTTTATCAACAGTTTTTATAATGTTCTTGTTTGATCTCAGTCTTCAGTTACTTTTGGAAAAGTGCGTTGGAGAGCATATCTCAAACCTCTCCCACTTTTTTAACCTATTTCATGCGGCAATCGCACATATGTAGTCTTTTTTATTTCTGGATTTTCTTAGCAAGAAGCAGCTGCTTTGAAGAATAATTTATGAAAAGGTAAGTTTATGTTTGAATAATTCATAAATTTGGATGAAAACTATGCTTGAGATTTTCTCGTTTATTTCTGTAGTATCCCTGATATTCATTATGCGATGGCTAGCTGTGGAAAATTATCGGGGTATGTTATTTGGAGAAGAATTGGCGAAATTTGAAGTGAATACCTCTTGTTAACATTGAAAAGTGAATCATAACTTAGGAATTATTGTCACTCGTTAGTGTTATTTGCTTTTTTTCTGGTTGAAAATTTTTAGAAAATTGTTTTTTTAGATACTGAAAAAAACTTGTATTATTTTATTGCTTTCGCTTTGCAAAAGATCCTTTTATAAACGTTTTGTGTTTCAATTTTGTATTGGCAAAACCTCATGTTTCACACTTTTGCGAATGGATTTTGATTCTTTTCCACAAAATGCATAACTTACGCTTCCTATTTCGGAAACAAAATGTAGTGGTAGTGAATCATTCCAAGATCGCGGAAGCTTGTAACATTCATTTTGTGATAATAAAGTCTTCAAAAATTATTTTCCCTTCCAATATATTGGATGAGTGAGTTAGCAGATCTGAGTAGAACTTGAAACATTTCGATAACTGGAAATTGTTAGCAAATCTGAAAAATGAAAGATGGAGGAAGCTTCTGTCGCTTTTAGAAGTTTCGTTCTTGTAACTCGATAAATCAACAACAAAGTATTTTGTGGAGATTGGTTTAACTAGATGGATGTTAATTTGCCTACTTACTACTTCTAGAAAGTAACTAAAAAAATTATTGAACAAAATCTCAAAAAAAGATTGATTGGGTAATTTTTTTTTGCTTTTTTTGGGTCATAAACATTGCGGGCATTCAATTAAGCAAATGGGAATATGCGCTGTTTAATTAATAAAGCATGCTTAAATTTCCTTCGTTAATTAGTGGTCTGGGAATTGTCGTTCGCAATATTAGTAATTACTACGATTAATTTAGCGAAAATTCTTTGATTTTTCGAATATTAATGCGTCATTTTTGGTAACTGGTAATTTGTTAATTATTTTTTCTTCTTGACATTTAAACTGTGTCATTACTAAAAATGCACCAAATTATCAAAAACGGTGCATAAATATATTTTGAATCGAAAGGTTACTCGAATAAACCTCAGAATATAGACGGTGTTTTTGTTTTGTTGATAAATGCAAGAAAATAGCTGAAATCAAGCAGCGTACTTGTGTACATATTGTATACAGTGGAATGGAATGTGTGCAAGATTTTAGATAATTTCAGAAACAGTTACTTTTAATTAAGAATAATATTTGTACGCATTGATCAGACTTTGTTCGATTTCTTAGATAAACATTTTCTGCAAAAGAGTAGAGTAATAAATAAGTAAATAAGTGGTACAGCTGTTTTTTAAGTGTAACAAAAAACTTTTATCTGTCTGAGTAAATAATAAAAATATGGATTAGTTAGTGCTGAGTCATTTTCTATTTTTTTGGGTCAAAAGTTAAGTAGTACTTCTTAATTGCGTTAATTTAAATCACATTATGATATCGCTTATTGCATATCTCAAACCTGTTTTTTTATTTCTCTTATACTGTGTTCGTTGTAACTAGTTGAGGATTACCGAAGTACTCTTTTTTGACTGATTCAAAAAAAATAATTTTGATTGACTTTTTTTAATATTCAAATTCTTTTTATTTTTGTAACTGTTCATCGTTGTTAGCTGCAAAACAGAATGTGATTACTTTTTATTAAAACTTGTTTACTTCAGTTTTTGTGAATATTTACGTCGATTTTTATTTGCTAAAATGAGAAGAATGCTGAGAAATAATCTATTCATTTATTTTATTGTTGTAAAAATACAATAGTTTCAATTCTTTGAGTGCTAGTAATTTGAATCACTCATGAAGTAATCGCAGTTTTCGTTTTGAATGATTTGTTGCAGAATGATCATCTACGGTAGTTCAATCAACTGTGTATCACATTGAAACATTTTGTAAGAACTTATGAACGAAATGCAAAATGTGATAAGTGAAGTAATCAAATTTAGTAGGGCAAATTTTTTTGGCTTAATAAAAGAAACTTTTGTATAAGTTGTTATTTGAAGATATTACTGTAAGTTTTGAATTGCTCTCATTATTTACTTCTGAATTGTACTTATAATTGAAATGCAAATTTATTTTTCATATTTGGCAGACGATAGCATTACGATATTATTCACATTCAGATCATAAATTTCAAGTAATTATTTGTAGATGCATTCCTTGCAGGCATTTTGTGCGCTCTACTGGATGCTTTCATGTCAAAACTGAGTTCAGTTCCTCTGATACTTCGCTTTTCAGTTTTGAAAAGCAACGAAGAAAGTGCTGCTTTTTACATCAAAACTGGAAATTGCAGATTATTGAAAGATTTGCTATGAGTTGGTGTACAGTACCTATACTATACTACTGTTAGAACGAAATTCATTCGTTTTTTCAATGACATTACTGATATTTGATGAGTGGAATAATTCAATTTCTAACAGTTGTGCAAAATGGGCTAAAAACAAGTTTGTTGGGAAGTAAGAGAGATATTTTTTCAAATTTGTTTGGGATTGTGCGGGTAAAAGGTAAATGAAAATAGATGGATGGTACGCTGCGTCAAATATGATAGAAAATTAAACATTTGCAGTAAATGTAAAGTCTATTTGGTAGCGCAGAGTCAAAATAGTTAGAAAATTATGAATGTGATATAATTATAGTTATAAATTTATGAATGCGAGAAGGGTGGGTACATGATAGAATCGAAAATATTAAAAAATATCATAAAATTTAAAAATGAAAAAATCTGAATTCAGACTTTCACGATGAGTTTTGTGACTACATATTTTTTATATTTAATAAGAAGCGATAAATAAAGCAAAGCGAAACTCATCTCGTATTTTGTTTCAGAAGAGAATATAATTGCATTTTCATGACTGAACGCAATTTCAGAGCAGAAGTTTGTAATTTTACAAAATGATTTTTTCAAAGTTTACAAATTTTTATTTCTGTTTGCTTGAAAATAAAAAATAAAACACGCAATTTTCTAACAACTGCCCTCTTTTATTCTACCAGCTGTTGCTGTCTGATGCATCAGAATCTTTGCGTGCATTCATTTATCAGAATACATTTTAGTGTAATCTTCAAACTGTTAGTTTCCCACTATCTCTCGCTTATTTGATGAACTAGCAAAACTAAACTGTTTAATTTTTAGAAGATAACTTTTCTTACTGATACTTGTTTTTAGACTTTTAAAACTTTCAAAAGTCTAAAAATCTATTTTTATTTTCATTTTTATTCATCATTGTACTGATAATTGATTGCTAATCTAATTTTTACAAGTTAAATTAGATAGTCGAAGTGACGTTTGATTTAACTTTGACTCGCATTTTATATTTTCAGAATCAGGTAGAAAGCAGTCAGAAAATGATAAATTGATTGAATTACCTGTAGATTTTGTCGAGCCAAACAGATAAGTATGTACTAATATATATATGATGTAACTAACATTTAATATATACTTGTATAGATACTAATATATACAAGTACAACTAATATATATAACTGTGGCTAAATCTTGCACTAATTTATTACTGAGATGAGAATGCAATTGATAACAATATGTTATTTATGTCTATTTAAAATTGAAAATCATTAACATAACAGCTGGCAATTAAAGAAATGCTGAAATATGACGGAAATGCTTACTTATGTAAATTAAAACTCAATCTCAGATAACGTTTTTTGAAGATATTTATTTGCAAAGATTTCAAATTAGCGTCAGTTAAATTCAAAAGAAAAAATTAGAATAAAAAAAAATGCATTCATAATGTGCAGTAATAATTATTACTCATTTGTATCGCGCCAATAAATTTGCATTTTTTTCAAGATGGAAATGATTGAATTTAAATTGAAAAGGATGCGGGATTTTTTATTGCATTCAAAAAGTTTTTTATACTGATTGGGATTCTGACTTAATTGAAGACTATTTGCGATAAAAACTCGAATTAATGCTTGCATTTCTGATAAACTGATTTCGGATAGATTTAACTTGTAATAGCGAATTTGAGCTGTTCAATTTTTAGATCTCTAATTTGCATATTTTTTTGAAATTATACGAAATTTTTCGTACTAAAATCTTTTTGCTACAATTTAGAGTAAAATAAAAACAATGAAAATCATTGTAATGAAACTTACTCGAAATTATAAATAATTGCACTTGTCAAGTTTTTTGAAATTATGGTGGCTGAGATTAAAATGCTTGAAAACGAACGCATTTTTAGCAGTTTAGCAATAAACTTTACTTTGTAGAAGGTCAAATTTTGTACTCACTTGCAACATTTATATCTTAATTCAAAAATTTTTCTTTGTTCAATCACAAAAATTGCTTTAAAATTGAAATTCGCAATTAGTTTTGAGCATACACTGGTACAAATCACACATTGTAAATGCTATTTGGAAAGTTCATGTCTAACATTTTGATTTCAAACTAACACTAATTAGTCATTTAATTAGTAATGAAGCAGCTTATTTAGTGCATGAATTAAATAATTTTTGCATAA